AAACTCCTTGTGCAAAACAGCGACCTGATTTTTCTCTGTTGCCCCCACCCAGGAACTTGCGGGTAAACTGGGTCCGGGTTCTCCAGCCCAGTGAGCTGGGGGGCTTGCGGGGTCCTGGCTTCCACCAGGGGGCGGGGTCCTTGTCGGTCTGTCCTGGGGGCACTGCTCAGTGAGTCCCAGGTGGCTGGGGCGGGTGGCTTCGGCAAACGTCCCCCAGATGTCTGCTCCTCTTGTCCATCCAGCTTGCCCTGGGCTAGCGTGCACCTGGGTGGGGTCCCAGGACATTGGGATGCCCTCAAAGACCCTTCGGCAGCCTGCAGGTCGGGGGGCTGCCTCCAGCTCTCTCTGGCAGGACGAAAAGTAGCCATCCGGCCATTGCTACTGCTGGAGCCATCTGCCTCTTCCCCTCTTTCCTCCGCGGACTACCCCCACCCAGTGCCTTGGCCGTGAACTGAGAAGGAGCCCCTCTCCTCTGCTCAAAGAGCTTGGAGCTGCTGGGGGAGTGTCTGCGAACCCTGGAACCAGACTCTGGGCTCCGGTCCCTCTCTCTGCTGTGTGACCTTGGGCTCTCGGCCTAACGTCTCTGTGCGTCCACTTGCTCACTTATAATCTGTACCTCGCAGGGCTGCTGTGGGGCTAAATGAAGTGGAATATGTGAACCGTAGCAGGGGCAGCAATGGGCCTTAAAGAAGGCTGGGCCGCTGTTTCATCATCCGTGGGGGGGGGGGCACCAAGTGCTTCCCTGAGACCGTCCTCCCCTCCAATCTGTTCTCTCCCCCAGCACAGAGGAGATCTCCAGGGGTGGGAGGTGGAGGCAAGGGCCACACCTGGGTTAGGCTCAAGCACAGGAGGAGAAGGAGGAACTTCGAAATTTTGGCAAAGATAAAGCTTCCCCTTAATTGGTGGAGACTGGAGGTGGGTTTGTACACGGGGCCGTGAGGGGGTGTCAGTCATTCCTGCAGGAGTCCTGGGCCTCGAGGGCACACACTTTGACATGCAGGTCAGGTCAGCCAAGATCTCCTGGAGTTGGAACTGAACCCCTTGATCCTTTAGTGGGGACAGAGGGAGGGACCAGGGGGTGAGCGAGAGACAGACCATGGGGTTTAGGGTTTTCACCAGGCTCCATCACAGCCCTGGAGGGGCACAGACCCCCCACCCCTTCCCAGATGCCTGCTTCTGGGCCCCAGCAATGCGCTTTGGGCGGGGCTGGGCTCAGCAGTATGGGCTGGGGGTTCACGACCCCAGGTTTTACCCACTCGGCCTCCATAGCTGCGGGGATACTGGGGAGAAATGGATTGTTTTGGAAAGAGGGAGCACGGCCCCTGGATGGGAAGTAAAGGTACAGGGTACCGGGCAGGTGGGAGCCAAGGACATGTTATCCATGCTTCTGTGGGCCTGGTGACCCTCCCTCATCTGAACTGGGGACGAGGGGGAGGGGGCTTTAGGGAGGTTGTCCTGGGGAACCAGAGAACACATATGTCAGCCTTTGGGGTTTTTTAAGTTCAAAAGCCATGACCCAGGTTTCAGATTGAAAATATGGGAACGAAGAGAGGCGGGGGAGGCAGGGGTCTCCTGGGGCTGTCTTGCTGGGGACCCCGGCAAGAAGCGGCAAGAGGCCTCCCTGGGAGGTGGGGAGTCTCGTCCCAGCACAGCCCCCTTCTTTACAGCAAGGATTTCATAAGACCCCTTTTGATCTCCTGAACTGAAGTTATACCTAGCAATTTTATACTTAATAACTTAATAACCTGCCTACACACAGAGTTTAAAAGAAATAAACATGCAGCCTGCCCTAGAAAAAATGAGAAGTAAAGGGAAAGTAATGATGGGGCGATAATGCTACATGTTTGTGTAGCTGTGCGTGCCGGAGCTGGAGGAGGAGACAGAGGTGAGGGCGGGGGCTCGCCCCTGCACCAATCCCCCCCCCACCCTTGTTACGAGTGATGCAAGGCATCGAGGCACCGGGGATGCAGGCAGCCCCAGGGTGGACAAGTCACAAGGCACGTGGGGCACTGTCCCTGGTGATGGCGTGTCGGGAATGACCCACTCGGCCAAAGCTCCGAACTACGCAGAAGGCTTCCCTTGCATTCCTGGGAAATCTGGTATATCCAAACTTGACAACAACTTTGCTTTTAGGATTTTATTTTATTTCATTTATTGACTTAAAAAAATACTTCTAAGTTACTTTATTTTGAGAGAAAGAGAGAGCAGAGGAGGGGCAGGGGGAGAGGGAGAGAGAGAATCTCAGGCAGGCTCTGTGCTCTCAGCACAGAGCCTGACGTGGGGCTCGAACTCATAGACCGTGAGATCATGACCCGGGCTGAAACTAAGAGTTGGATGCTTAACGGACTGAGCCACCCAGGCACCCCTATTCATTTCATTTATTATTATTACTATTATTTTCATTTTGAGAGAGACAGAGTGAGTGGGGGAGGGGCAGAGAGAGAGGGAGCGAGAGAATCCCAAGCAGGCTCCACACTGTCAGCGCGGAGCCCGATATGGGGCTTGAACCTCTAAACCGTGAGGTCATGATCTGAGCAGAGATCAAGAGTCAGACGCTTGACCGGCTGAGCCCCCGACACGCCCCTGTGTTAGGATTTTAACCTACTTCTAGTCTCCAACCATTACAAACAGGTCTGTGGCTGCCTGAGCGTCCAACAGGACACTGGCCGTCCACAGTACCCCCCAGCACACTGCAGACCCCCCATATCTGGCTTTGTGCCCACTCGATGCCAGCAGCCCCTCCCCCCATTCATATGGCACTAAGAGACAGTGCCATAGATCTCCAAACATCCCCTATGGCCGTGAAGGCCCCACTGAGGACCACAGGTTGAGACCATGTGTCCCTACGCCCCTGTCACCCCACCAAGCCTTCAGCCTGTGTCTTGACGACGTCCTCCTGCGCAAAACCACAGGAACACAGCACATTATGGGGCATCTCAGTAAGAAGGTGTTAGGAAGGATTAACTATAGGACTTAGGCGTGCATTATGCAGTTTTGAGGGTGTTCAAGGAAATGGGGTTTTGCTCAAGAGGTGCCGGCAGGAGGTAGGTGTAGCGGAGAGATCGGGGATCTTAATACATCTTTTCTAGAAGGGGAGAAAGGTAGGGTGGCAGCCGCGATGGGTAGGAAGCCGCAGTACTCGCGGTGACCTGAAGAGGGAGCCGGTGGGCCCTGGGGGCTCGGACCAGGTGGATGGAGTGAGGGGGGCTGGGGGTATCTCCCTCCAAGGCGGTCGGCGGTCTGGCCGGTTGCTGGTGCTCTGTGAACTTGTGCATGAGAATATCATGGCCTCCATGGGCTCAGAACGGGAGAGGCACAAAATTGGAAGGTTGCCCTAAAACTCAGCGATCAAGATAAATGATATTTTTAGTGGAGTCTTTTTTTTTTTTAAAGTGGCCTGGCAGGGTCCCCAGATGTCTGTGGCCTTTTTGGCCCAGAGGCTTTGTGGGGACAGGTAAGCTACAGGTTTTGCTTGTTCACTTTGTTTTTGACACAGGCTGGAGGGAGGAAGAATCTTGAACCTTGGGTTAGCGCCCGAATCTCTGACCTGGAGACCCCGCCCACCTAACAACCCACTTTGCTCTTGCTGTTGGGCATCCGCCCGGCACTGATGGAAGTGACCAGCTTCTCTGCCTGGCTGGCCGGGGCCGGGGCCGGGGCCTGAGGCCAAGGCCCAGGGCCCGGGGTGACCCCTGAACCCCTCCAGCTAAGATCTGGCCTGGCCTCAAAGGCCGGGCTCGGTCTGTGAGGGGAAAGGGACACAAAGGCAGAACCAGGGGCGTGTCCGGGCGAGAACAGCTCTGGGCAGCAGCGTCCCCAGGAGAGGAAGCTGCACTTTGCACGTGCTGCTTGGTCGGAGATGCTTCTGGAAAGGTTCCCTCCCTCGGCCTGGCGGGAGTAGCTGCTGGGCTTTACGAGGAACACACAGAGCTTTGGTTTCAGAGGGCTGGGCGTCCTGACGTAGTCCCCTCTCAGCAGAAGCCACTGGCTGGGTCTTTTTAAGTCTTTCTCCTAATGTTTCCTTATCTGTAAGACAAGGGCAACCGTATGTCCCTTCCGGGGATAGAGTCAGCTCTGGGGGCCTGGCCCCAACGGCCCAGAAAGAAAGCTTGTTGTTTTGATGGAAACCGGGGTCTCTTCTCCAGTGGGAGGGTGGCTCGGACCAGGAGGCCCATCTCCCCGAGTTGCGCGCTTGGCTTCCACCTTGGAAACCGCCTCGCGGGGGGGATGGGGGGGACAGTCCTCGGGGAGCCACCTGTCCCAGGAGGAGAGGGGGCAGGTGGGGTGCTCTGCGTCTAGGCGTCATTAGGACCCCGTGAGGACTTGGGACGGGATCGTCATGGTGAGACTCGCTCCCTTACAGAGCTGCAGCCATTTTCAGAAGAAAACGGAAAAAGGAAGCCACCCGAGGTGTCACAGGTGTTAAACTTGACCTGCAAATAAGTACAGAAAAGTGCCCGTTTGGAACATGGCTTTATTGGCTTGCTCTCTTCCCCAAGAAAGACACTAATGATCTTTGCTTGTTTGTTTGTTTTGAAACTTACATTTGCAATGTCTTTTCTGAATTTACACGAGGTGGTGGCCGCTGAGAAGGCCGCTCGGGCTCCCTGTCGTGTCAGGGCTTGGCCTGGGGCCTGTGACATCCTCACGCAAGGGGCGTCTCCTTAGGGGCCGCCTTTCGGGGCCTGGGGAGGCCCCGGGCCCAGAGATGCCATCACACCCTCCTGCCACCCCCCACCCCCCCGCCGTCTGGGAGAGGCTGAGAAAGGAAATGCACTTGGCAGAAATAAAACTCAACAGCACGGGAGGAGTCTCGGGAATGAGGAGCAGCCCTCATGCTGAGCACAGGATCTTTATTCGTTAAGCCATCAGGCCCCAGGCATCAGCTTTCAGCGGAAGGGCTTGCCAGGAGCAGGGTGGGAGAAAAGCAGGGAGGAGCGGCCGCGGCCGGCCCCGCAGAGGACGCAGGCAGGGTCCCCCGGAGCACAGAAGGTCGCATTCCAGGGTGTCCGGGGCCGGTGGGCGTCGCTTCAAAATGTGCATTCTGGAAACAAAGCGCAGACGTGCATCACCACCACCAACCTTGGCTCCACCCACCAGGTGCCCCGCTTCTCAAGGTCAAGACAGCCTCCAAGGTCAGCGCCTTGGGCTGCATTCTCCCCCAGTCCCTGGAGAAGTGTTGAGGGTCCGGCCTCGTGGAGAATAGCACGTGTCCCCCCAGAACAAGGGGTTCAGGCAGATGATATGAGATGGCATCATCTCAAGGCCCCCACCAGCGCCCAAAGGAAAGGGTGTAGCCCCCCCACCGCCCCCACTGAGGGGCCACAAAGTAGGGCAACAGCCAGCAGAGAGGCAACGGGCAGCTCCCTCCTGGTCCCAGAGCTGTATCTGGGCCTCTGCCCCGATTTGCCGGGAAGGGGCAGGGAGCCCCAGGGCCGTGGGCAGGGCCCCATCATTGCTCAGGAGGCTGGCTTG